AATCTATTCGAACAAAGTGTCGCATGCACAGCTTTATCAATCGAGCAGGACAAGACTCACCGATGGAGGACAGAAGAGTCCTGATGGAAAGCTTTGCTAAAACAAGCACTTTATAAAGCGCTCTAGGTAAGTAATATCTACATAGATCAAATAAGCAAGTGGACCCCGGCAATGGAAGAGATTGTACGCTTCACTCAGCTTTTTATCTATAAAATTTTTCCAATTTTCCAGGTATTCCTAATATCGGAATACATGCCGCGCTACACACAATTGGACATTTCGCTGGGTGTTGACTTCAAAATGGCATCGTTGAGTAATATCAGAATGTATATCTGCTTTTGGTTATTCATACTTAGCCAATAAGAAACAAATTCTGTTCTATTATACCCTCTGTCACGCAGGAATGTTTCGTAGGTTTGTTCTAGACGAAAATAAGTTTTTGAAACACATGAATTTTACATTCATACCAGACAGAATCAAGCGCCTTGCGTCACAGAAGACATCAAGCGAAACCACTGCAAAAAAGTGGAAGCAAGGCATGCTTCGGCAACAACAAAAAAGTAGAATTACATTTTTCAGACAGGCTTTTCCCTGTCTTCCCCATATCTTTATCATTTGCTACGACGGCTAGTTCCCGTAAATCAGAAACTGATGTGTTGTAACGTTATCAGATGAGTCTGTGCATGTACGTGCGCAGTTCTGAAGAAGACGCAAGTTTCCCCGCTCTCATGCTATGTTTGTAGTTGTGTATTTTAGTATGCGGCTATTATGGGATGATGGTAGCTTAGTGTGGTGCGTCTTTGCGGCAGACAGCTGCCAGGCCGGCCTCAAACGGTGCCATAAACAGCCAGAGCCACGAAGGAACCCTGCATTATGTATTAAGACGTGCGTTCCCCCATACACTAAGTACTATTTCTTTGGCATTTAACACCTGTGCTACGCTGTGCTTCGTGGTCTCCAGCGTCATGCGCTATCGAGTGCGGCATCTAAAGTGGCTGTCGGCGATAAGCCGGAACAAAACTTAGCTACTCACCGAAGACATTCTACACATGGAACTAGCTAAGGCGAAAGGCGAAGGCAGTCCGCAAATGCAAGAAAAACCGCGAAAGGCATCTATTTGCTATCTGTTTCCCAAGGGCATGTGGCCCTTGCCAAGAGAATCACGATATGACGCTGGCAGTCGATAATGACGTAGCTCAAACGCAGCACAAAAAGCCGGTGGGGTTCGTCCATGTTGACAGCCATGCAGCAGGTGTGCGTCATTTAGAGGACCATGCGGAACCGGCCCTTCAAAGATCCTGCCAGCGATGCTTATTTGACTCGACTATACTTATCACTGTTGTACAGGCAACGGTCGTATCGAACGGTCTTGGACCAGTTTCAAAAGGCGAATCATGTTACAGATATTATTAGCATAGTAGGCAAGCAAAGGTCAACACTACCGTTATTTGTGTGTAGCCTTCATGAAATCTACTTATTTTGGACTTTACCTGAGCGTGGAAAACGTCTAAAACTATTGTAAACCAAATCAACGCATTTAATCATAACATGGAAGTTTTTTTAAGAATGTGCTTTTTAAGTTGTTTTTAGCCAGTGAATGAACTTTGTACGAACTTGTAAACATAACAAACAATCGATACAACAATTGCGTCCTGTGGATGAAGTTGACGTCTACACATCAACTCTTTGTTCGAGGCGAGAGTTTTCCACAATGAAGACGACTGTAATTCTTGACAAATTCTTTCGGGAATCGACTTTTTTAGGTGGCGGTTTAGATCCTCACTGTCTATAATGCACGTGTACGACCTGCACGCACAAGGAACGGGCCAACACGAAAAGTAGGCCAGCGCTAGAGCATAGCCGTTAGCCTGTCTCTCTTTTTTCGATTTTGAGCAGTAGCCAAAGACGCCCCGTTAAGCGTCCAAGTTTTTTGACGATCAATCTGGATAGCCTGATCAAGGTCCAAGAAATCTTTTGGCAGGTCCGAGACAAAAAAAAAATTTATATTTTTTGTGCTGCGCTTAAGCTACATCATTATCGACGGCTAACGTTGTATCATGATTCTCCTAACAGAAGCTACATACACATAAGAAATAGATAGAGATTAGATAGTTTCCGTTTCTACGTTTGTAGACCGCCTCGTTCTCTAGATGGACGTCTAGTTCCTCATCTGCAAAATGTCTTCGGAGACTAACTAGCCTTTGTTCCGGTTTCACCCACTTGAAATAGCACACTTAGTAACACATGGCGCCGGAGGCCACAGGGCACAACGTAAACAGAGGCACTAAGTGCCAAAGAAATTGCATGGGGGCGCGTGTCTTAATGCATAATGCATGACTCCTTCATGAGTTTTTTTTGTCTGAGACTCGGTTTGAGTGTCGCCCGTCTTGAAAACGGCCTATTACAAGGACTATGCTACCGTTATTATATCTTACGCATTAGGCACGAGGATACAACTAGGGACGTGGTCTGAAGGCGGAGGAGTTTGCGCCTCCTTCGGAACCGCGCATCATATAGACTCATTTGACAAAGTTACAGCGCCGTCACTCTGTTTAGTCTGGCTGCTTTCAAAAGATTCTATTTGGCCAGAACAAAACCACAGGATACTCACAGGAAACAAAACCACAGGAAAAAACATAGTAACGTAAATTTTTTTCTACTAAATAAACTTGTTAGCCAAACGTAAATAACTAAAAGTAGGCGTATAGTATGATGTAACTTAATGATGCGACTTTGTAACAATTCTGTGTAGTGCTATAAACAAGTGCTTTTGGACTGGATATTAGGGATAGCTTAGAATTTAAAGACAGCCAGTAGATAAATAGCTCAATGAAATGTATCACGTCTTCCACCGACGGGGTCTACATGCCCATCAGAATCGATATATATATATATATATTAGGGGAACATTCTATAATGTTCTTTCTCGGACGCCTAAAAGTGCTTGTATTAGCGAAACTTTTCATCAGGACATCTCTGCATTTTACGTTCAAGCCCAGGCGTTGGTCGATTGACAGGGCTATGATGGCTGTCACACCTTGTTTGAACGTCTTTTAGGGCAGTTTCTACGAATCGCTGTTTACAACATGAAGCCGACTGCGGATGCTTATGTCATTTCGGTCTTCATCTTTCGCTGCATTTTCGTTGTACTCTTACCGCTTATTTTCTCCCAGTTTCCTTATCTCTCTTCGCTCATGCCGGTCGTCGCTCATGGCGATGGACTTCGTTCAGGACTCAGATGTCGCTCAATCCACCACGCTTTGCTCAAAAACCAAAGCCCGATAAGGCGTTAATTGTCACCGTCTCTCCAGACGAGTTTTCAGAAAGACGCTGCTGAGCTAGGTGATAAGAACAGGACCTTGCGTCTAGGACTGCACCAGGTGCCCACTCAGATGAAGACCAGGCGAAAGTAGGCGAATGGATGCATTGCTAGTTGCAAGGGCCGTTTGTTTCTTTCGACAGATCAATGCATTACCGTTACTATTCTAACTAGCTCTTATCTGTTTTCATATGGCTTCCTCATTGATCGTTTAATTACTATGTGTCTATTATGAAACGTTTCAGTTGATGTAAATCATAGTCGCGTGCAATCAGTCGATACCCATACTATTCGCTACTTGCCCGGCTTCTTCATCCTGCCCCTGGATATACGCCTGCGCTCTCCTGTATACGCCCGGCAAAAGCCTATGTACAGGTATGGCGTTATTTATAATAGATTAACCTTGGTAATAATTGGGTTGAGCAGACGCAACAGCCTTTACTGGAGCCACTCCCGTAACAGCCGTAAGCAATCATCATACACGTATCGTATAATGCCGTAGAAACTCACTTTCGTGAAGACACACATATTTGCCGAATGAGTCTGTGCTTACTCGCGTTGTAAAAACGTGTAATTTTTATCGACATTGGATTAATTATCATAGGAGAAGCTGTACATCTTCTCCTAGCATTTTATGGCTTAATCCAGCTAGGCAAATATTTACTGCTTAGAAATTGAGGGGAGGTCTTCGACTTGAACAAAGCCGGGTTGGCAATATGACTTCAAGAGATTTGTTTCATCGATAATTTCTTTGCAAAGCTGATTAGTCGGTTCTCCCGTTAAGCGATTAGGTACTCCTCGCTTTACATAAACGTCGTCAAGTAAATGTGAACGCTCTGTTGCAGACGAAACTCTCTAGCTTAAAACAATTGGTTGCTATCTAGCTTCAATAGCTTACTCAGAGGCACTCACAACCAATGCTCTGATATCGGCCGTCAGCCGAAAAGCGCCCAAACGTATCGGATGCCCAATGCGATTTGTGCGTGTCGCTTGAAACTGCCCTGCACATTTTTTTACAATCAATATATGCAGTACCGAACGAGTGAGAGTACAATGGCGGCAAAAATTAAACAAACGGTGATCAAACTCCATAAATAACGCAATAATAGCTATGGTACCTGTTTGTTCATTTCAGCTGGCATTGTCTCTACCGACAAATCATCATCTTCAGCGCTGCTCTGATCCTGGTGATTTTGAGAACTCGTGAAGTAGCTTATCCACAATATTACCTGTCTCTTGTATTGTCAAAGCAGACGAGTCTATGCGCCATACATACATACATATGTATGTATATGTACTATCGGAAGGCTATCAGGCTATACCATTAAACTAGCTCATTTACTACTAAGTAAAATCACTCAAACCAGGTCCTGTTCTATTGAAAACTTTAATTTAGCCAAACCTAGCCTTTCAAGTAGGTTCTGTCTCGACTAAAAATGAACGAAGATAATGAATATGAATACAATGTATTTAGGCGTCGTACCATACGCATTGTGCTAATCAAAGGTCAGGTCAGTTTTGGCCGTTCTGTTGATTCTTAGTTAGAACTCAAAAATAAGAACCTGCCCGGTAACGCTACCATAATTTTTATTTATGAATTTATATAAAGTTACCTTGTCGTCGATTGGTTTACGTTATTCACGCTATTATTCTATGCTTATGTATCTGATGTGTTACCAAGTTCCGTTATGGTTCGCTATGTAAAGCTATTGTAAAGTTACGGCCAATAAGGTTCAGCTCCGGAAGTTACCAAGAGCAAGGACACCGACACTTCGATGCTGTCTTGTTTTTTTCGTACGCTTTCGTTTCGCGTAGAAGTTGCCTCACTCGCTAAAGTAGAAAGGTTCAATACACGATTTAGTTTATCGAACGGTGGAACCCAGTTAAATTAATTTACAAAATTGAAGTGTTTTTCATTTCATGGAAGAAATTTGCGTATCCAGATGTGCCGGCGTGTAGCCGTTGTAACGATCCCGCTCAAACGCCGTCGTCGTCGCCATCACATACTGAAGCTGTATTCAGAAGATTACCGATAAGTATAATAATATTATTGTTATTATTATGGGGCTAATAAGTAGTACCATTATCGATCATGTCGGAGAATGGCATCAATAAATTATGGGCAAAATCAATCTTACATTACAAAACAACACGATTCGTTTCTATATTCCGAATATATCATGAACTTGGTACCGAACAACTGGACATTTTCTGTACGAGATAATAACATTCGATTAAATCCAAATAGAAATTTTACTCGCAAACGATCGATCAAATGATTTCTCATAGCGAACTTTTACTTATGCACACCGTCTAGCGTTGTAGCAAATTGAGATTGTGCTGACAAGGTCAACCTGCTATTGTTTAATATATTAAGGCTATTGACGACCCCCCCCCCCCCCCCGATGTGCCGACAGCCCAGTACGTTAGCCAATTTGATACACAGTGTAAATTCTTAAATAAATGTTGGTTCTATTGATTTCTGTAGGCGTATGAGTTAATGTATCAACGCACGACCGAGTCGCTGAGGGAGCTGCTTTCCTTTTAGATCTGATTGCATGCGGCCCAAGTTTGGGACTTAGTCGCCCCAGACAGATGAAATAATGATGTAGAGTACGATAATTACCATTACTGGACCGCTATCTTCGTTCTTCCTCCTTCTGAGGCTCGGAATTGCTTCGGAACGTAACTTCGAATTTTTCGGAAAACAACACAAGCAGGGTTGTTTCGTTCTTTTTACTCTTCTCCCGCGTCTTGAACTCCCTGACGGAAAACTCATAATGATAATGGTAGTGATAGCACAGAAGCTTGAGATGACTCGAAATCTACTAGCATTTTTTTATTTACCATTCTTGGACCTCACCACCTGACCGCTTTTGATAATTAAGCGAAGTCAAAACCGTTACAGGACTTCGCTGTCCATACAGAGCCCGCTATTTATTCAGACCGATAACTCGAAGGATGCAATGCGTCTAACGCACGCGGCATTTACTAAAACCTCAATGTATCACGTATATAAGATCAAGCTACTGTCTTTGTTGCATTTGTGCTTATAGACTCAAAGCAACAAGAAGTCTGTTGTGGAATCAGGTGCCACAGCATCAGAGTGATTGGCTCCGACCAAACTATATATACGAGTACTGAACTAGCGTACACTTGCAGCTGACACGTATGTTCAACGTATTCTCAATTTAATTACACTGTAATAATTTATAATAGTTTCCGCTTCTTATCTCATGATATGGCCATTTGTCAACTTACTGAATCAGAAGAATTTCGCAGTCTCATAAAAGCTAGATATTTTCACATGAGAGCATAATTTTACCCATCGAAAACTCGTCAAGGTTAAGCCTTGATCTACTATAGAAAAAAATTATATATATATATATTAGTTATTCTGCCATACACATCATTTAGACACGAACAGTCGGGAACACAAACACGTAGTGAATTGGTTTCCCCATCGATACGCTTTTTAGTTCTATTTACAGATTTCAATGTAATTAGAAAAGCTAAGGGCAAAAGTTTGATACACTTTGAGAACTAAGGATATGTTTCCTTAGCTACGATGCGATTAACTCTACCGTACAGCGCCATTAGTTGATTTTGTTTGACATTGCATTATGAGACCTCTATGCCATTGAATTGAACGCGGTCAGAAGAACGTGGCAATATAAATCACACGCATCACGCACACGTAAGGGATCGTCTGTTCTACGAAGCTAACACCACATCCCATGAATCTAGACTCGATACATTCAATATGAAATTCAAATCAATATTATCAGGCCAGAGCAGTAATTAATACGCGCTTCTTAACTCCCGCTGGCACCCCCGCACATGTGATGCAGTAAACACAGACGAATTAGTTTATCGGAGACTACTAAGTCGGTTTCGCTACTCTACCTATTATAGCCTTCTAAGTTGTCCGTCAAACACTGCTAAATCGATTAGTCCAGATCAACTTGGGCCCAGTTACCACTGCTCTGCCCTTCCTCACTGGTACCTCCGTCAAAACAGCCCAGACAATTATTTTGCCGAGTGTGGTGATGAGTCTTAGGGCTAGTGCTGTGCCCTCTCTAACTGAAACCTGTCTTTGAACATCAAGGTGCTAAGCTCTCAAAGACGCTAACCTCCTCACCTAAGCCGGCTCTTACTTACGCGGGCAGGCCGTCAAACAGGTTGCTGGTAAACGATCCATTGTTTTTTTCATACATTCGAACAAACTGTGTTCTATAGAGAGCCCAGTCATATGCAAAAAAAAAAAAAAAGGTATACGCATAAACCTTCTTCACAACATTAATACTATAAAGTAAACCCTAGAGTTCGTAGTTTGATATAGTTTTATACTAATGAAAAAGCAACGATAGCATATTATCGGTAGGGGTTTACTATTACCTTTAGGCAACATCCATTTGGATTTAAAACTTAATCAATACAACCTCTTTGCATGTTCATTTTAATATTATCACAACGATATTGCCAAAGGTAAATTCATTGGCCGCTTGGTGCTTCACACGACTACGCGGAAAGTAAGAAGGAACAAATCTGCACGCCACACGAGCTCACTTAAATTCCAATAGTGTATATTTATACATAAATGATCTTGTCTATATATTATAATGAGCATCTGCCTAACCACTGAAGATCCGCAAACCAGCAATTTCTTTCGCTGCTTTGGATAAATGTCAGAAATCCTAAACGCGCGTCTGGTCCCGTCTGTCTAGAGACAATATGCGTTATGTCGTTCATCTGAAGGCTCGCATGTTAGTTTTCTTCCGCAATATACAGGGCGTAGATACAGTGTATCTATTGGAGAATTCGGGGACAGGTAAACAAAGCTCTCGCGGCCCTTTTTCTAGTCCTGAGATGACGTTAGTACGCGGGCATAGCACGAGACTAGGTAAAAGACATGGCCCGCTACGGGAGGACATTCGCAATTGTTGTGCGATCGTCCCTAAGTCGTTTGGACTTCGCACCCAACGCGATGAAAGCAGTGGATGCGATGACCCTCGACCCGTCGCTCGTTTCCATTACAGAGTCAGGGCATCCATAACTGCATAAACGATATAACACTACATCACGGAGATCATCTTGTAGCCCTATTTAATATCTCCGGAGAAAAAGGATAAGACACAAAGACAAGCCTTCGAACGTACACGGAGACACTTTTTCGTTCACTTACGCACCTGTAGAATCTAAGTGATACCCTGATCCTAACCTCGTGTAAAGTACGAGGTTTAACTATAAGCTGCAACACCATATTGACAGGCGTGAACATGTAGACTTTCTGTACACGCAAGTGACAAGCTGTCCGCGTAAAAGATTTAGCAGTCAAAAGTTAAATCCGCTGCAACCAACACAAAGTCCTACGTCTGTATAGAAAATGACGTTCCTGTCATCCCAGGCCAAAGAAAACGTAATTTACGCTCGAATAGCAGCAATAATTGCGTCCGTATATTCGGAAGGACCTATCCGGCCTAAGTCTATTTAAGCTAAGAGCTAGTTTGTTGTGCGCGTGACTGTGTTTACAACTATCGTTCACTTTGAAGTAAGTGATTGACCAGCTAAGCGAACGCCGAACGTTTACTGCAGATGACGTATTTTAGCGTCGTTTTAAAACGTGACAACAAATATGAAGCTAGAAAAATGGCGAGCTGCGTAATGAGGCGTAATTTTAATTGCTTAATAGCTATTTGATAGTACTGTATAGCTGTGTATGAAGGAGGTGACTGACTCAAAATGCAAAACACTGAGGTAGGTCTTCAAGAGAGTTTCATTATCATAACACAACGCATGGTTTCCGATATGAGATACTGTAGCATCGATAATGCCCCTCGATCACCCCTGCACAAGATCAAAGAACATGACAACTTTATCTTGAAACAGAACCCTGTTTCTAATTTGTTTTGTTGTTCGTTAGCGAGTATTATATAAATTACGTAGCTGATTTGATAATTTCGAGTTTTCATAGGAAACAGAGAGCTAGTTTGTGATGCTTTAAAAACTCGTCATGTGATGTTTGGGCAGCGATTCAAACATGAACATGTTCGTGAATATGGCACTCACTGGTAAGTCAGGCAAAAACGCAAAAATTTATTTAAAATATAACGAACCTTCCAGCGTAAAGCGGAATGCTCGGATCGTCATCGTCTTCATAGTCAACGTCGTTCGCTGGGGGCTGCCCAGAAAAAATGCCATCCTTCGAACCGTACTTCTGGCTCATTCTTCGAAATCAAAGATTTTCTCCGGAAACGAAGATGAAGGTGCGGACGGGTCGGAGACGGACGCCGAGTGAGAGCCCAGGCCTTCGCTTGGCCCGGAATCCTTACTCCTGCAATCGACGTAAGAGTGAAAGTAACATGTGAGACACGCTTAGCCAAAAAGTAGAAAACAACGCAAAGGCCGCGAAAGACGTTAAACATAGCATAGAAGTAACAGGGATTCTGGCACTCGTTGAAAAAAATAACTGATATGTATAGCGGAAAGTGTACATGGACGATAATAAACTTTCAAACAACTCATTCAAATGTCGATAACACTTCGCAGCTTTTTGGCCTTAACAGGAGCCTCAGCAACGTGTAAAACCACCTGTAGAACACTTCATACTTAAAATAATAACAACACGATTAGCAGCAAGTTACGACTGGATTAGGATAACACATTCTTATATCAATAATAATAACGCAGAACTCACAAGCATTGTCACGAAGACAACATCTTTAACGCTTCAAAATGATCATCACTACCAAAAGGGACATCGCCATTGGAACCCGATTAACGGTAGCAATAACCTTTATAAATGTAACCCGAGCGAGAGTAAGTCCTATAGCAGATACGAGTGCCTGTTTACCTCAAAGGATGTATGAAAAGGACTTTTATCTTGGTCAGGTATGCAAGGCGCTATTATATTCTGTTTTACCGAATAGTTAAAAGGCCCTGAAATCGTTCATTATCATAGTTGTTTACAAAGATACATTTACAGCAGCGCTATGACTAATGCTTTATTTATTAAGTTTAGTCTTTAAATAGTGTGAGTTGGCATCGCAAAGCTAAACTGTTGTCGGACTATGCAGTTTATTTCTTTGTACAATAAATGATAAATATTGATCAGACCGCAGACCGCCGGACTCAGCTAGCTATTCCAAAAATAAGATCTCTTCCTCCCTGATGGTGGCAGTAATTGTGATGATCGGAAGTAAACTTTATCGTGTATATGATGAACTTTGGGCTACTGGAATAAAGGAATAATTGGAAGAAGGATAAAATAAGTCTGAAGTGAACTTTAAAGGAATATGTTCTACATCCACAACAAGGTTCAGCTTCTAACTGTGCACACGATATATATATATATATATATAGGTGTCGCATAATCTATGCAGTTTGTATTAAGTTTTAGTGGACATAACGGCAAAGATACGCCTCAGGCAATCAATATCTTTGTCCTTGGATTGCTTTCTTCGTCTCTCTCGCCTTCTCCATCCCAGCCATAGGCCAATATTGACTGAGTGACAAAATGCTCGTGGCACTTACGTTTCTATATCAGAGCACAAAAGACAAGAGGTTTGCCCCTCCAGCCCCCCCCCCAAGCAGTTTGAGACGACTTGTGCATCGTGATCTGTCGTTTCCTCGTCTTTGCTACTGGTTTCTGCGCTGCTCCCGCACTGCCTTCTGATTCTGCTCTCAGCCATCCCCTAGTAAAAAGCGTTGCCTCCGGGCTAACAGGAGCGCTTGACATGGGGCTGGACTCGAAGCCAGCCCATCATCGAAGGCGCGCTGCAACTGTCTCCTAGGCAGAACGGGCTTCCATTGTGTTCCTGCGTTGCAGCAAATATAAAGAGCTTTTTGTTTTTTGCCTTTTCTTCTTTTCCTGGAACGAGTCCGCGAGGGAACAGAGCAAAAAACATTTCTAGGTGTCGCAATCCCCGAGGATTTCTGTGGAATGATGAAAGGTGCGAGCCAGCGCAGTGGCGTTTTGCCACGATAACTTCAATCGCCAATACTGCCGCCGATACCATCGAACGTGGCGACGTGTCGCATAGTACATCATACTGAGACAGGGCAAGTTTGACCGTCCTGCGAGGCCAGGAGAGAAACGCCTACGTTTGCCCTCACTGCAGAAAGCTGGAAGAAAACATCTGAGTGTACGCGAAGCATGAAACGGCCAGAATGAGGTAGGCAAAGGCCAAAGGCAAATCCGAGCAATTGTTTTTACATGTTTTCAAGTATAGCTACTATCATTCCCGTATTATATATTGCACAAAGCTATCTAATGATAGTAATTCGTAATGTTTATGCCGTGCATAGTATAGTTATCGTTCGTATATTTTATAGGATAAAAATCACGATACAGCAGTGAGCAATATTTGTGGCGAAATGCGAGGGTACATATAATAATGTTTAATTTCAGCGTTTAATTTCATAAACATCGACGATATATATAGAAATTTTACTGACGTGAACAATATTTACAATCAATTCATATAGATATAGAAGAATACTATTATCTCTGTCGCATTAACATATAAAGCTGTCAAATTCTAATATAGCATCCTGCCTATTTTAAAGTTGGCAAAGCGTTATGTGCCAATTGGATGGCAGTAGCAATTTTAGTTCCGCGTTTGAGATTAAATTTTTGCGCGCTCGAACGAAACGATGACGCCACCTATCACTTCAGAGAGATATGACGTTACTCGGCAGTATAACGAAACAGTTATGTCACACGCTGTATCTACTTAGAAAAACAATTTTGCTTTAGCTTGCGCTCATTTGTGATGTTGTCGTACTTAACAGTCAGCGTCTCATCTTTCTCTGCCTATTTGCGATAGATTGTTTTTAAGTGTGCAAATCTGTAATGTGGTTTCATAGTGAGGTAGATCTATTTAGACATGGTCAAGAATAGTGAGAACTTCCTAGTTGGATTATGTATGGGCCAGTCAGCCTATTCGGTCGAAACTCTGAGGTCGTTCGTGAAGTTCATATAAATGTGATACATTAGATCGGTTCGTCTTAAGCACGGAAGCTCAACTCGTTCTACGGATTTGCATATAAAAGAAAATGAAGTCACATTCTACCATTTAGAATTCATATCAGTAGCTTCCATTGCCAACGTGCTGCATTTCTTTTAGCGAAAGCCCACCTCTGGAAGCAAGTCAAATGATGAGTTAATAAATCAATTAGCCACATAATACCAAATTCACTCTTGCTTTTTATTGTTGCACGTTAATGTTAACATGCCGTGCATGTTACGTATGTTGTTATTATTATTATATTAGAGCTTCAGTTTTTATCGGCACATAACTAAGACTTTCACGGCAAGAGGAAGCTACATGAAATCTAAAGCTTTGCCTTCTGCTGTTCAAAATTAGTACTAATATATTTATTACACTGCTAATAACGATGTGGTATTAACTCACAATGGTTACACAAAAATTGGCCACACAATACTTAACCTCCAGCTTGAAGATATCCCATTCAGACACCCCATTGATATCAGGGCTGGGAAACGTACTGGGTATTCTGTTAAATTTCTCGGTCCAATCTATCTGCCTGTAAGATTACTCTCGAGACATACTCTTATATCACGACAATAGCATGCAAGTAGTCCTTCCTGTTGAAGATGAAATTTGCCATCTTCATCAAAATACTCCCACACGTCTTTGCAGCAAATTCAAGTAATTGGCACCAGTCACTGTTCTGTTAAAAATAAATAGTCCATCTAAAGTAGTATATATTTTTCCCATTCCAAATGTCGAAGATTGTTGATTGGTGCAACTTGGTCATTTTCATGATCAAACGAATTGTCGTTGACTCTCTTTTACGTCCATTTATTTTAGAGATAAAGGCTCAAGGATACACATACGTATGTACGTGCAGACATCAGCCGAAATATCTATTATATCGGTTCTATGAAGAAAACTGGACCCTAACGGCATTCTAGACTGCTAACGACAGACATAATCAGAAATTGCGTCTTTGTTTTTCATTTGAAATCTACCTGTGTGTTTCAGTTGGCGCACAACGTACTGCCACTAGCCACAGCGGCATCGCCATTATGCTTAGCGGCGCGCCGTTCTCTGAGAGACGCAAAAGCGCATCTGATGAAATTGAAGTATCGGCATCAATCGGCACGAAAGACAGCGAATGTAGGACACATCACTAGCCATCGATCGGTCAAGGAGATGTTTAGCCTAAATTTTTTTAGAAACAGAGAGTATTTTTAATGGGTGTATCAGATCTCCGCGATTGTGGTATATGGCACTTGAGGCAATACGAATAAATATCACTCATTATTTAGTGAATACACGTATGCATGAACTTTCATAAGTTCCTGTAGCATCGTATGCGTCTGCATCATCGCTAGACAGAAAAATATCTTCAGCATCAGAGCTGTGCCCGACCAAACATTGACAAACGTCGTAGATACAAACGACTGTTACGGTAAGCACAGGCTCTAAACTTCGAGCCATCAGGAATGATAATGAACGCTTAAGCTGAGAATGCCAGTCGATTTATTGTCTGTGCATTGAAGCCTCATCTTTCACCAGATGCGGCTAATCGAAGCTCCGCAACTATATGAGATATAGAAATGCATGAGGTATACCTCAGTAGCTAAGAGCTGTCAAATGAACCACAACCTTCGAATGGAAGGTCCAACAGCTGCTCAAATAGGTATGACTACTGGGCGGACTACAAAAAATTATCGAAAATTCAGTTAGCGAAAACGCAGAAAACGGTATTGTCAAAGAGTCAATTAATAGAGGGAATAATCGTTCTGATTTTGAAAATGAGTTGTTTTTTTTTTACCTCAAATGATTAGCAGTCATGTGTTCTTATCTTTGTAATGGTAGTTACCTTATCGAATTAAGGTTCATGTCACAGGTAAAGTGGTGAACCAGCTAACTAGAACCACGGTGTCAACTGATTAGAGCCAACCAGGCGCAAGTTATCAGATTATCTATTACCGAGACATTCGATTCTGCAAATGAAAGCTGCAATTTTAGCCACTGTAATGTGAGCATTCTAAGAAGCAATTGCTTTTTTTTTCTTTATTGGATTTATTTAAATCGTAAATCGCGTTCAGTAAACTATATATATATATATATATATATAAAATAAGATATAAAATTAAGACTCTACAGGACATTTGCCCCACCCCTGTAGTACTTATTTTAATTTTTTTTAAATATCTTTTATTTTTTCACCCTTTATTCACTACAATGTTCCAAAAACGATACTTTCAGCATTTATTTCAATATATTTGCTTACTGAAGGCCACACATGTGTGAACCGACTGGGCGCAACCCCTATGTTTCATCTATAACCGACGCTGTT